TTTATTAAGAATTAGATAACTCATAATGGCGGAGCCAGTATTAGAAGGGTTCCAGTCTTTAGGTTCCCTGTTACTCCAGAATTGTAATGATTATGGTGACTTCACCTACCTTGTATTGGGTAATATGCTCTGGTCTATGTCATCTCATTTCATACTTAACACCACCCCTAGAAATGGGTGTTGCTGTCCCTATTATATTATAAGAGACAAAAATGAAGGAGCTGATACAATACAACTCAACTTTGGGAAGGGAGTTCATGATGTTTCCTTTTGAAATTTGTAGGCTCTGAGGAACTTTTTAACTTCTCTTGTTTGTATTTAAGTTAGCTGAAACACATTTTATAGAGCGCAATGGCAATCACTTTTGATTATTCTTTAGGTCACTTTATCAAAGCTTGCATTGGGACATATCTGTATAATAGTAGCTGAGGGAAGGAAGATGCATAATCAGATAACAGTATGAGAATATGTTAAAATATAGCAAGTGGATACTTTTAATATTTATCAATTACATTTAGCATTAGGCAGTCCAAATAATTTTGATCCACTTGATCCATTCTCTTCATTCAGCATGAATTTTTATTCTTGTTCTTACAACATTAGTTGTTATCACTATATTTAACATACAGGAGGAACTTGGAGAATACACAGTGACTTTCACCTCCAAGTGGTTTCAAAATTATAATGTCTTAGCTTTGAGGAGGCTCTAATAAAAAAGACAAAAACAAAAACAAAACAAACAAACCAAAAGAGCATTACAAACAGCATCAATTAGTTTAATGATATATAGCCTTATTAGTAAAGGGTTTGATGCATAAAACTTAGCCACAGAAAAGACAAGAAACAGCCTCTACTAGCCAGAACAAAGGCTGACATTGTGAGATTTCGGTGGCATAATATACAGGCTTCAAATGAGAGTTCTGGTCAGTGTGACATAAAGGAAGTGCTTCATTAGCTATCATAGTGCATACCTCTCAGGCTTGTACCAGGGGGCAGCATTCAGCAAGGGCATGGGCGCAAAGAATGAGCTATTCACTCAGGTTCCATAATCTTGCTCTGTTTCAGCCTCCTGGGTTGACAGCTTTCAAGTTAAGCATGGAAGGCTCTAAAGAAACAGTCTTACATTCTTCAGTGATAGAGTTTGTTTTTGGAAAATGCCTATCTGAAATAAGGAGATAAAATAAGTTGAGCTTGTGAGCTGTGAGCTCCATTTATTACATTAGATGTCTCTCCAGAGCATAGTGATATTTTTATGATTACATTGAACACTTCAATAAAATAGTTCTACAGAAAGATGGTTCTAAATAAGATTATGTGTAATTTCTATGTCATTCAACCCTATTCAATCATATGAATATTCATTTTACAGTGAAAGCTTACTTTGTAAGTAGGAAAATTACAGCCAAATGCTTTGCAAAGATATTGAGTAGAAGAAAAATAGTTCTATGTAGTAGCTTTCAGGAAAACCACTGTGAATTTTTCCCTGTCATCCACAGCCACAGACATCTGCCCCTCAAGGAGAACACAAAACCATATAACACAAATTCAAATTAATGGCAACATTTCTGAATGCATTTATACTTCCTCTGTGCTTTGAAGGGAAATACATTATATTTAGGTTTTGATTTATATTAATTTCCTAAAAGGACAGTCTTAAATAGCATTGCTCATAGGCTCAGGGACCTAACTGCATAAAATTGCATAAAGATGCTGAGAACGGTTGGTTCTAAATCTGAACTACAATAAAGGGAAAGTAAATAAAGCAATTATCAATTGGGCCAGTCTTGGAAAACCTACATATTATATTGTTATGATAGAATTTTCAAGGCAGAACAAAAGAAATCATAAAATTCAAATTCATATTAAACATCATTTGTTGTGAAGACTATCACCATTGATGCTGTTAAATATATGGGAGATATTTATTTCTAAAATAACTGAATATCTTATATGACCTACAGTTGTTTGGAATTGTACCAGATACTCAGGTGGAACAGCGAAATCATTGCGTAGTGCCTAAAAACATTAAAAATCCTAAACTACACCAAACAAAATATTTTAAAAGAACTGTTTAAAATTTAAACTTTAAGTTTTACTTATTTTCCAATAAGAACAGTAATTTCTTACTTAAAACACTAGATGCGAGCAATCACTCTACAGGCTGGCCAGTCAAGTTTGTGATAGCGTCAGAGAATATAAATTGCATTCTCAAGGCGCCCAGGGGCCTTCATCTAAAACAAAGGTATTTGTTAATTAACATACAAATAAACAATGTTACTTACTAGATGTAGCTCCAGGTACACTTATAAAGCCCTTGCATTTTCTTAAGTCCCTGTATTAAATAAATACTTTTCTCTTTTAACTTAGTAAATCACAAGCAGTTTGATACTGAAGTTCTATTCTAGAGGCAGAGTAATTAGCCTTTTATCAATTTTTCATAAAAACCACATGCTATGGGTTGGACTGTATTTCTCCCACAAATTTTTGTGGTGAAGTCCTAGCCCCAGTACCTCAGAAGGTGACTTTCTTTGGAGATGGGGCCTTTAATAGATGTAATCAACTTAAAATGAGGTCACTTTATTATGATTGGACACTGATATGGCTGGTATCTTTATAAAAAGGTAACATTTGGACACCGAGAAACAAACACAGGGAGAGTACCCTATGGATATAAACATGGCCATCTCTAATCATGTCAAGGGGCAAGGCCTGGAACATCTGCTGCCCTCACAGCCATGCCAATGTCTTCATTTCAGGCTTCTAGCTTCCAGACTGTGAAATAATTTCTGTTGTTTAAGCCATTGAGTTTATGGCACTTTATTATAGCAGCTCTGGCAAATTAACACACCACACAAGAAAAAATAATGTTCCATATGTCGGGTAATTTCCTTAGAAAAAACCAAAAAACCCTGACATTGTGCTCCTTTTTCTTAATTGTAAGAGACATGCTGATGAAAATTATGGCATTCAAGATCCCTAGGTTCACACTGTGTTGCTAGTTTATAATAGTTCTGTATAAATCAATTTGTCTATAATTATTTAGAAAAAATTTAGATAGATATCACATACTTAGAAATTATTTAAGAAACATAAAAGCACTACAATTGCAGGATTTAATTTTATTTAACCTTAAGTTTTCAAAACACAAATCCAGGTAAAGTGAATAATGCTCTAGTAGTATTGAGAGAAAATAAGTGAGAAAATTATTTAAAAATCTATAATTAGAGCGTTTGTTCTTTATCAATTTATGAATTTCTTCACTATTTTATTTATCTATCTACCAGTGCTTTGCTATAATAGCTTTTTATAGAAAAATTTCATATAGTACAAATCTTTTGGACATTTTGTTTTTCTAAGTTTAAAAACATTCCTAAACTAGAAGTTTTATAAA